TATATATATATATTGTTTAACATTTTTTTCTTTTTTAATAACTATTCTTTACAAAAGCTCTAATTATGCAATTCCATTGAAAACCCTCCATTAAAAAACGTTATATTAATTAAAATTTTTATTTTTTATAACTATCATAAGCTATTTGACATGCTTATTGAATTTCTATTTGTCTTTTCAAAAAATTGTGATTAATCCATATCCGTAATGTTTCCAAATACGAATAAATTGGAAAACAATCAATAATATATACTGTATATAATAGTAGTGATTTTAAATCTGGGATAGACCATATAAAACACACCAGGTCGACATTTACATAAAAAGAAAGTGATTCCCGGGTTAAAACTAAAAATGCGATTGATAACCGGATTGATCTCGTTATGGAGATCGACATGAAAAGCGCTCCCACGAATAACACAGAATAGCGCGTGCAGTTGCAGTGCAAGCCATCACCGACACGCGTATTAAATTGCGTGATTAACGGTCAACGCGCACATTTTGCAAATGTACTCGCATTAAACTACCGTTTATAGATATGTCATTTGTCCTGCTCTCGATAATAATGCTTTATGCAATGTTCGGCCACGAGCTTACGACGCGCCGCGCGCTTCCCGGACCGTGGCTTCGTTGACGGCGTTTTGTGTCATAAATCATCGCGGCCATTGTGATCGGCGAATATTGTCAAGATAATTAAACAATGTGCACGACACCCGATATGATTATAAATACGATCGATTGCGTGAAACCCGCGTTGAACGAGAGGATGGCGGAGGAGGTTACGCCAGTATGTCGGAAACGATCGATGGATCCCGAAAATGAATTACGTGATTGTGAAAATCGATACATATAGCGTACGATTGAGTGAAAAAGGACACTCAATATTTGCCCAGAATTGATGTAATGAGGCTTTGTTGGAAGTGCCATTTAATTGGATATATTAATGTCCATTATCGGGACACAAATTAGCACGATAATTAATAATAAACGCAAATAAAAGAGACTATAACCTCAAGTTAAACATAAAACATAATACGTAATTTTCAAAATCTGTACGAACGAACAGAGATTTATTATGTGAGAGATTTCAAATATAATATTTTTTATTGATAAATGTAAAAAGGCAAATATGGAAAAAGCAAACGGGATTAAATTTTTTTCTGTAAATTAATTAAATAAATCATATCTAATTACAAGCACATCAATGATAATAATAAAATAAATTGTTGATCAAAATTTGTTTTCGACGTGCGTTGTATTTTAGAAAATACTAATCGGTGCAAAAACTTTTCGCAAATGGGAGAGGGGAGGGGGGAGAAATGAACAGATCTATAAATCAATAAAGCAAATCGAAATTGTCAAAGCACATATAAGAGCTTATGTATCATAGCGAACGTGATGAAGCTGTGTCGAAAGCATCACTCAATAGCGAATAGTTACAAAGCGAAATCCAGTTAGTGACATACCTACCATATCTCTGAATATTGGCTTATCTGGAAATTAAAAAAACTTTTGGCATTATTCTTATTATTTAGCGCTGTGATGTATAGAAATACAAATCTTTTACAGTATATCATCTATGTTTTCACGAAAAATTAAACTAGGAGTCAAAATAATAAGAAGAATGCCAAGAGCTATATATGTTTCATCAAACCGTTTAATATTTTCGATTTGAATCAAAAGTATTTAATTTTTGATCGTAATAAAATATATAATATAAGTAAGAATACATAAATATTTGATAAAGATATTAATAAAAACGGTTTTTTCAATAATTAATTTCGAAAAAATGCTATTATGTATGCATCTTATATCATTAAGAATATTAAGTCTCTTTTTACACTAACTACTTGACGAGAAATGAATAAGATAATTAACATAAAACATGAAACATGTATAAAATGTCGGTTATATTATCTTATTATACATTTCAAAGGTCAAAACAAAACAAAAACTCTCACAGAATATGGAAGGAATATGAAACAACATAGGAAAATGACCACACATAGAAATTTTGAGTACCGTTAAATATTTTGTTTTACAGTAAACCTTAAGTAAAGTAACATTTTCCCCCCCCATTATTCTCTACAATAACATTTCTCCTCTCGCATTTGATTTGCAGAAAGACAAATTTTATTATACTTTTTTTCATGAATTCTGCACGCCATTCTAATAGTGTTCTATGGTGATTTACAAGGTCCATTAAAAAAATACATTACAGCCATAAAAAAAGATAGGACAGGTACGAGTAGAGTGTAGAGTAAAGCTACAGATCGGATATTGAATGTCAAAAAATTTCGATACAATCTGGGATGAACATACGAGCAATCGTAATGGACAGACGAACGGGCAAGATTTTTGCGTGCAACTCATGATGACGGGACATATATTAAATTAATAAATCGATCGTTAAAAAATGTAGAGGAGGTTCTTTGGAGTTTCTGCATGGAGCGGTTATTGACGAATGCGGACAGGTGAATCCTGACGTTTCTCTCGGGAACGACGAGAACGAGATTTTCAATTCTCTCATTCCTCCACCGATACTGGTGGCGCGGCTTCTTCCTCCTTTACCTTCTTTTCATCGCCCTTCTTCGACCAGTCGGGTTTCTTCTGCAAAATCGAGAAAACATTGCGTCAAATACAAATGGAAATCTCATTTTACGTTGAAAATTAGACTCGCACACTGGTTAGCAGTGTCGGGGTGAACGTTCGCAAAGCTGGGGGATAATACTAACGGGGTCAAAAACTTCTGAAAGAGGCTATTCAATTCGGAATGCCAAAAATCTAGAGAACGAGATCTAGACAAAAATTGCTTCGTGGTCGTAGTCGTGGATCGCGTCGCCATATACCGTTCAATTGCGAATTTCTGCCAGCTTTCTGGATCGCCAATTCTCTCATACTACCAAAAAATTCTCTCGACGTTTCCGGGAAGGACGTCGCCTGGCAACTACGCTCAGTCACGGAACATCTACGAAGCCGTGCAGATTGTTAGTAGAAATAAGAAAAAAAATACAGCCGTAGGAGAATCACGAGATTTAACAAAAAAAAAAAAAAGAAATAAAAGGAGATTGAAATAGAGAAACTAAGACAACGGCTTCCAACGTTGTCGAGAATGTTGGGAGCTATGCGTCTAAACATTGTAAGGAAATTCACGAACAAACGAAACATAATATTGAAGAAAAGATTGCACTGAAGACTTGAATCACCACGAACGTTAAAAACGAAGAAAGCTTCTCTTCTATCCTATCTTTCCATTCTTTCACTTCCACACATACACGTTCGAGCTATTCGTTCTTCTATCTAGTACACTCTCATCTATCACACACACGTCATTCTCTCTTACACAAGCATGTCGAGCTACAAGTTGGTTGTTAAAGTTTTACCTTATCTTTTGACGCATTCTGCGAACATAATGCAAGAGCAATATAATTAGTCAACAGATAAGACATGGACACTGATTAAGCGTACATTTAAATATTACTTAACAAGTAACACGTCGTTCATGGCTCACTGGTTGTAAATCATGATCGACATCGTGATCGTCACGCATGTTGATCGTTGAAAATATTGTCTTCGTAATTATTATTTATTGTAAATGACACTGAGAGAAAAATTTGGTATTTGCGATTATAGTCATAAAATAATTATGAAGAAGCTCCATAATAATTATATTTATAGTTATTATAATTATATTTCATTATAGCTGTTTTAGGTGCTAAATTATTGTACATATACAATATGTTTTTTTAGTATACACATATGTATATCGCAAACACTTCTTTTTCTTTCAGTGTAAAAAAAGATAAAAGATTTTTACATAAAACGTCAAAATGCGTACACGATTGTGCATAAATACAAAGACAAAAAGACAACAGAGCAACAAATTCTATATAATCTGAAAGAATAGCGGCCGAATAATAGTGAAGGCAAGCTAAAAGGGCTTCAATTGTGTGATCAAATGACTTTAGTTTTAAGAGTGCGTGTTTCTGTTTCTGTTTTTTTCTTTTCAGACGAGCTTATATATTCTCCTTTCTATTGATCACTCTTTTTAACATTTTGCATTCGGTAACAATCCGGCGGAACGATTTTGCATGTGAGGAAGTGTGCGGCAATTAACACGTGTAAAAAGAAGATAAACGAGGCGACTGTGCGAAAAAAAATGGAAGGCAACAATATAATTAGATAGTGAAGAGTAGAAAAACGCGAGTGGGCAGGCAGGTGTGTGAGTAAAGCGCCATTATGTATGAAATAAAAGTGGAACTTCAAATACTTGGCAAGCCAATCTCACCTTTTTGCGTCCCTCTTAATGTTATGCTTTATTTACTTCGCGCTGGGTTACGCTATCGCAAAGATTTTTACGAAATTACATGAATGAAGAGCGCGAAAAAATAAAAAGATGCAGATATTGATACAAATTGGACACTACTCTAATTGCCGTGATGTGTCGGAGAAAAAGAAACAAGAGGAAGGAAATTAAAATGGTGAGGCTGAGAGAAAAGCGAATTAGTAAAGTTTTACGAGAGGAAGAAAAACGGTACGATTCTCGATAACAGCCGACATTTCACCTTATCGAATATTTGAAATACCCACTCGCGCGTAACATTGTCTGAAAGAATTTCTCTTATCACGACGCAAAAATACGACCACACCGGAGCGGAAGTCGTATCTGATTTTGCATAAAATACAAGGCTACGAACGCATTAACATTCTCATACAGCGTCGTTTTTATTCTGTGTAACGGAAACAATCAGGAATTGAGATCAATTCGAGTTATCGAGTTTCGCATCCGATAGACATCAAGGCAAAAGGAAAAGGAAATGAAAATCAAGAGCTATCTGTCGCAGCGAAAAATCCTAGAGATGAGAGGAAATAAATTGTAAAAAAAAAAAAAATAAAAATGAAAAATAAAACAAAAAAGAGAACGAAGGAGAAATCTGCTGATAAGGGATATGAGAAAGTATCACAGGCACGAAGGAACGTCTAACTTATTCACGTGAGTTTTTTTCGATCGATTTATTGCCACAACTTATCGCTTTTATATTGTATATAACAGTTGTACGTGAATATTTACGCAGAGTCAGCTTCTCCCTATGTCTCGCTCGTTTTGATCGTCTACTCCGCGCAAAAGAGGGATGTAATCAAATGTCGGCTAACTTCTAGAATTGTTCGTACAATTTTCAATTCTCACTTGTTAATTTGTTTTCCGTACACACAGTGCTAACGAACTAGTTTGACAACAATTCGAATGAGACGCGACGGCGAAAACGCGCTGGCGAACACGCGAGACGTCGATGGAAACAGTATCAAAAATGTTCTACGCGTTTACGCATTTATTTTCTTTTTCATTTTCTTCTTTTTTCCCATACGTTTTTTCACGATACATTTTCACGCGTGCGATTACTAAATCGATTATACATATAAATGTGATCGTGTCAAGTGTTCCTTCAAATGTGTATGTACGCTCGTGTATAGAAGTTTCTTGGCTTTCCTATTTGTTTTTGATTTTTTTTTTGTTGTTGTTGCGTCGTAATAGTAATGTTTGTATTTTATTGAGATTTCGCACTCAAACTGTTTTCTTTTTTCATTTTAAATCTACTTCTTGGTCTGCCACTCTGCCTTCTCGGATTTCTTGGGCTGTGGAGAACAACACAAATTGCCTAATCAACTACCACTACTACTACACTTTCAATACGGATAGGTATATACATATCTACAGACAGTCCTTTTCAGGAGATCCTTGCTTATGCAATGAAAAAATATAATTTTTTATATTGAATGAATTATTTTTATTAATATCAGCTAATTATGATATACGTAATACTTGCACGAAAGAAACTTGAGTAATAAGTCTCGAACAATCGAACAATAAAAATTAATATCAATTGAATTGTCAAACTCAATAACAATTTACAAAATATAATGTAATTACGAGCATAAACGTATTAATTTTATATTATTAATTAAACATGGATTGTTTATAAACAAATAATTATGATAATTTCGATTTATGAAGATTTTTAAACCCAATTAATTTTCAGAATATTTTTATTTAAAATCTTATTCTTCGAAATACGCGCTATTAAAATATTACAAGATAATTATGAGAAGACACTATATATTGACACTTATTCAAATTATTGCAATCATTAATTATTGTAATAATATATTTTGAGGTTAATCGATTAGCATAAATTCAACATCCCTGATATGACAATAGCCTGATATATTTAACTAAAAGTATTCATGGTTCAATGAATCGATGATTAATTACCGCGCGATTATCCATTGCTCGAGATTTCCGAGAATTTTGGCTTCCAAATTAGCTGATAAAATAATGCTCCTCCAGGGAAATGTATCATTATAAATATTTTAATAGCAGCAATATCGGAATGTGCAAACAAGGCTATGTAATGCCGATCTCCTAAATTGGACACAATACATTAAACGAAAAAACTGCTTAAACGAAGAAAACCTGCCAATTGGGTTTTGTACACAAAAAGAAAACCAGGGTTACAAAAACTGTTTTTTGATTCACTGATAAAACATTTACTATGCTACTACATATCTACCCGTCGTGTGGTCGTAAAAAATAAGCGTTCTTTACAAAATTCGGTAAGTATCGATGAATTTATCAGAAATTAAGCAAAAATGCATGATAATAACATAGAAATATTAGACGTAACTGAATGAATAAAAACGAAATAAAAGTTAAAAGTTTTCCCATAAAAATTGAAAAGTTCATTTTTTTTATTCGAATGTCGTTATAACGTTCTCTACCACTGCCAAAATAATTATAATTATTGAAGAACGATTCAAAGAACGCTTGTGGACCTTTGACGGATAGGAAAAAAACATTTTTGCAAAAAGATTCACGTCGCCTGTAGATGCGAAGATTTTATCGAAAACGATCATTTTTACCTCCTTATCCTCCTCCTCCAAGGTGAATTCCTTCTTCTTGACTTGTTTAAGCTGATTACGGAAATTGAACTCGGCGGCTTTCTTTTGGAGCTTAGCAAACTTGTTCTCGTATTTAGATACTTTCTTCAGGGTCGGTTTCATGCTGAAGTGATAAAATGTTGTACAATAAAATATATTCTTAATACTAATTTTTCAACAACATGAAAAGAACAGTTTTGTTAAAGCATTAAAAAATTTAGCTAAAAATAGACTTGAAAATAATTCGTTTTTTTTTTGGATTATTAAAATAATTATATAGAAATGCTAAAACTGGTAGTTAGAATGTCAAAACTTTTGCAGCATTATTGAGTTTCTTACATAATTATTTTGATAATTCAACAAAAATATTTTCACATCTTTCTAGCTAAATTTTTAGATACTTCAGCAAACTCGTTCTTCTTTCCGTGTAGAAATTGTATTGCGTGATTCTTGTTATTAACGTAGAAAATAAAGATACTTACAATTTACCTCGAAGATCGTTGACCTGGCTGTTCAAGTCTGCGATCTGTATGTATCGAATATTTCTATTAACATCCATTGCATTCGATATTGCGATATAATTTATTCATGCTTATAATTTTCTTTTTATATACAAGATATAAGAGAAGAGTTTTTTTTTTTACCATTTTGAATCGGTCCATTGCACAAAAAGATATTTAATTGCAACGAGACAATATTCGAATAAATGTACTTTATACAAAGAATACCAGATGTAATTAAACTGTTAGATTTAAAAAGGAAAGCTTCTCCTAAAAACAGTTGTGCAATAATAATTCTTGTATACAGTAAAGAAATCTTGCGTATTAGGATCAAACGCGGATTAGTGGACTCACGTGAACGGCATGACAATCAAGCCACAAACGGTTAATCAAGAAAAAGAAGAAATGGACAGGTGAATCAAATCGTATCGGCGTGCGGCCTGCATGGCAAAAGCACAGGCAAGAGAGAAAGAGAAAAGGGAGTTACACGTGTTGAGCAAGCGGGCAGATATTCAGTTGGCGAGCCACTCGACGGATCGAGATTGATAGTAAATTGGCTTGCGGATTAACTGCAATAGCGGATGACGGCGATGGGTCCGGGAATAGAGGAGTGGTTTCGCGAATGATAACGGAAAAATGGAGGAAAAAGAGGGAACATGGGGGTCTGTGGAATAAATAATATCTGGAAAATTGGAAAGTTTCGCTATCCAAAACTTACCGACACATGTACAAAAATATCTGACAAAAAGTAAAAATTTTAACAAAAATTACTTGAAAATATATTTTCGCGATGAAATAATAATTTGCTATGTTTTTCAACGGTATCACGATTGAAATACGATTGCGGTTAAAATCATTTCATTCAGCTTCATAAAAAAACAAACATATATATATATATATATATATATAATATATATAAAATATATATATATATGTGTGTGTGTGTGTGTGATTGATAATTACAATTTCATAACAACAACATAAAGTTTCGTAGATATTGCAATAGAAATTCCATGATTCGTGCATTTTTATATCTGGATAGATAAGCAGGTTGACTGTGGAATTGTTTCCACAGAATTGAGCACGTATACATATATGTATATAAGAAATTCATGCAGGGCGTGAGAGAAATTGACGAATTTGTTGCATTACGTACGTAAAATCTTGGAACACATGAATCTAAATACACAAGTCGATTCATATCACCATAGTATAGTCATCATTATATAAATTCATTTCTGTTTCTGAAAACACTTATCATTTTTTACGGATAACATTGATTATTCTACTCTTCTAAAACAGTTTCTTCAGGAGCAAAGTTTTGTTCTAAAGCCACTTGTCGGATTCTCTCCCTTTCTTCTTCTCAGGAATCATTTAATCATTATATTCTTTTTCCTTAGCCTATTCTCTTTCTTGCACAAGTTACGAGAAAGGGAGAGAGTATTAACGACAAAAGAAAGAAAGAGAGAAAGAGATAGATAGATAGATAGATAGATAGATAGATAGATAGATAGATAGATAGATAGATAGATAGATAGAGATAGATAGATAGATAGATAAATAAATAGAGAGAGAGAGAGAGAGAGAGAGAGAGAGAAGAGGAATTGGATACGATGGGGTGTGAATTTCATTTTGGCCAATCAGGGGACCGGCTGGTCACGATCAGCTCTTTCGTCCGCCGTGGGTGGTGAGAAAAAAATTACAAAATCCACTACAATCCGTTTTCTAGACTGCCAGAGCTCTGTTCGTCTTATTTGAAGCGTGAAACTAATCCCTCGAAATCGATACTCCGGTGATTTCATTTGCTATTTTGTACTCGAACGTTTAATGTTATATCGGGTGTAATACGCTCTAATTATCTCAGAATAATATTTGTTTTCAAAGCAGCGACGCGTAAACATATTGTTTTGAATGCTGCAAGATAATCATTGGCAATGTCATATCGCGATATGCGAATATATCATAAATATTGTAGTTTAAGCTCGTAATAAAATTGATTGGAGATTGACAACAAAATTCTATTAAAAAATGACGAAAAGGAGATCATTTTCTTACTCTTCACAAAAAAAAAAGAAGAGAACAGAGTTCTGCCACGAAGAGTCCGCTATTTACAGCCTAATTGAAAACACCATGACAAGAGGACACTGACAGTCGGTGTGGTGCGTGCGAATCGGTACAAAATCAATTTTCGCTTCATTTTAAGGACATCATAGACGTCTGTACGTGTTTACTCCAATGTCTCTCTCGTGTGAGTTGAGTTCATTTCATGTACACATTTATATTGTTTCACGAAAGTCAAAATGAAGTGGGCGAGAACTGGCGTGTTTGATCGATGGAAAAAAAAGATATAAGATACAATAAAACAGAAGGGAAGATTTTTTGCGGTCTGAAGACTTTCACAGCATGGCACTTCGGTTTCATGATTTTTTAATCCATTCTTGAGCCAGTCCACCTTTGTGAGAGTTAAAAATGGAAAAAAATAAAAGAATATAGACAACCGACTCTACAATTTTTAAGGTCCATCCCTAGATAAACTATCATGACCGCATAAATGTATGCGTAAGAAAAATTATCCAATCGCATTTTACGTCCTTATGATAGAAATGCGATTGGGTAATTTTCTTTATGTATATGATTATACAGCTATGTAAATTTATCTGAATAGACTCTTAAGGTGTTTATGGGAAAGTATACGATAATCGTTTCTTTTCAAAGTTATACGAAACTGATTTGTACCTATCGACGACCGAGTATCTATATATACTCACCGTCGAACTTTTTTTAAATGTTTTTAATGACTTTCTTCGACATAATATCACAAATATCGCAAAACGATTACGTTTATTTTTTTATAAATTTTTGATCATTCATAACGCAGATAAGATGTACTATTTTCAAAACGTTAGCGACGAAAGCCATGTTTCTTATCAAAGTCATAAAAATTCACGCTCACGTATTTTATTAGAATAAAATAAGAATATTGACGATTCGCGATTATAATTGCACGTTTTTCTTCCTTCGAGATGAATATGAAGTGCCATACTTTTTATCGCATAGCTACGAAAGTATACGCGAATTAAGCTCCATTAACTCAATCGACTCGAGATATCCGTTGCAAATGGAGTTTTATAAATCATAATCACGGAGATTAATAGAAAAGTTGGCGCGATAGACTAGCGTTCATGCTATTAATTTAGCTGCAAAAAATCATTTTGTTTTCATAAATCACCATTATCGTTCCCTTTCAATCAAAAATCCATTCAAATGTGTGTGTGTGTGTGTGTGTGTGTGTGTTACTTCGCAGCGAAAATTAAACTGCTGCGATTGATGTAACGAATATATTTCACATCTCTAAAACTGACGTAACGTTAAATACTTTTCATCTAAATATAATAAATACTTCGATATGAGAATTAAATTACCAATAATTTCGAAAATAAATAAATATTTAAAAAAGAAGTATAATTTATGTCAATTTATTACTGCATAAATGTTATTCATATATATATAAATATATATTAATTTGATAATGACAGTACTTATTTAGTGGTGATTAATTTGCGTAATGAGATACAGTAACTCCGGTAATATATTTCGGCAAAATACAAATCTACCTCTAATCACGTGACGCTCTGAAATCAAATAGCGATCGGTCGAGTCTACAATAACGCGAAATTAATCCACACTATAATGGAGCCATTCGCCTGTTTCCTCATAATTTATAGTTTGCTACCATGACCAACAATGTTAATTAACCCGTGTTCATTATATATATTGTATATCATCTCTTAAACAGTTTATTAGTTAGAAAAGCCATGCATGCGTAGTAAAGCAAATTTGTTTATGCTTAGTGAAGGAAGATATCGTATAATAGAATGTTAGGGACAAGCAATGGAACAGAGTAAGGCGGAAAGAGAGAAGGAGAAAAAGAGAAAGAGAGAGAGAGAGAGAGAGAGAGAGAGACAAAGAGAAAAACGCACGCGTGAAAAGGAAAGAGAGACGAAGACATGTAAGCGTAAGAGATGAAAAAAAAAAGATAAGAGGAAGACACCGTAAAAATCGTAACAATCGATGTATTTTCCCGATGTGTGTACTGTCATTTCTTTTTTTTTTTCGCTTTCATTTCTGATTTTGCACCGCACGCACGCATGCACGCACGCACGCACGCACGCACAAACACGCGCGCACGTGGTCTCAGGCATACAGTGTCAGCTCAGTTCTCGCGTGAGACCAAGGGAAGGAGTGATCCCTTTCGGTGATCCTCGGTGGATGATATTTTCTTCGATTGCGTACTCTTTTTTTTTGCAACAAATCTAGGGCAACTGCTTCTATTACTGAAATCGTGCGCCCATCTCGTTTCACGATCATTTTTCTCGGCGCGCGAGACGCAACGTTAATTATCAACAAATCCGCGTGCTAATCAATACTATAAATTTAAAAAAGTGTATAAAGAGACAGTATATATGCAGTATATAATATACAGAGTTACGAGTATATAATAACACAATAATGGCGTCTTCTCTATAAGCTTGCCCAGCCCTGACTCGAGAGAGTAAAGCTTTTTTTTTTTTATTTTCTTTGGCGAGTTAGTATAAAGCTCAGAGAGATATATTTGCGTTATGGTTAGATAATAGAGAGAAAAAGAGACAGTATAGACTTGTGACAAATAGATACGTTACAAGAGAGCGAGTGGATACAGTGTGCGTTTAGCCAGACAGCGAAGATAGACGCAGAGAAGTAAACAGGCGGGTTGAGAACGGCACGTCACGCGGTAAGAAGAAAAAAAAAAAGAAATGGATAGAAAAATATATAGAGAGAGAAAAAAAAGGGGTAGAGCAAAAATATGTGACCGGCAAAAATATCTTCCGTTGCGGCACTTCATATCCATGTAAAAAAGAAAAATCCCCTTCCTTATTAATTACGTTCGTCTGTTCCGTCACGCTTCGCAAAAAGATCGCGATTAAAAAAAGTAGATCGTCGTAGATCATCGGGTAGATTATCGAGACAGGACTGATCAAGATTATAAAGATTCATAGAATATTAAAAATCACGTCAAAAGGTTTCTCCATCACAACAACTTTTTCGATTGTTTCGCGCCTTGGAGCGGACTCGCGCGGCAAGAGAGTGTGTTTTCTACCAAGAAAAACATCGTGAAAGAGAGAACAACAATCGAAAGAGAAACGTATGTACAGAAAGGGGGATGGGCGGAGAACGAGAGACAACGCGAAGAGAGAGATCGGGGCGGGAGAAGAGTGATACCCCATATCATCTGATATACGCGGGGGAGGGGTCGGCAACTTGAGGAGGAAATGATCAAAAAGAAACGTGCGATCTGACGGTTGCTCTCTTTCTCCTCGCATTGTTCGCCGTTGTCGCTGCTTTTCACTTTTCCTGTACCTCGTAGTCCCTTTTCCGAACTTCACGCTCCAAATCCCACTTCTGACCCTCACAAAGGTAGACGCGGTCGTAATACATTTGGCAAATCTTCTTCAACTCCACTACAAAGAATACGGAGAGTCTCTCAGAAATCTTTGGTTCCTCGATATGTTTATTTTTCTGACAGCTTAGGTGGCGAAAGGGGAGTACAGCACAGGAGTGAGAGACGGACAGCTTTAGCGTGCGATGTACCGCGTGCGATATGTAAGCTGGGATCATCCACTAATCTCACGAAAAAGTGAAAATTACCGTAATATTATATATAAATAAAAATTATTAATCTATAAGAGAGATTGAAGTTTTTAAATAAAATGTACACAGTAAAAAATGTTTTGTACTTGTGTTAAAATCGATCCTTATCAAAACTCCCTTTTGTTAAATTTTCAACATATCTAAGTGTTAATTTAACATAATACAATTTAAAACGCAATTTATGAGTGGATGGAATTTATTAATGTATTTAAATTTAACACAAATTTTCCAACTGTGATAAGAATTAGAGAATTACAACATACGTGTAACAAATAACTGCAAATTTATTAGATATTTTTGGAAATTTATAATTCTGACATACATTAAAATATTATTAGTAATAATGACAATATTATTATTTAGTAAATAAATAAACGATGTCGAATGAGTTCCTTTTGCTTTATAAAATCTAAGCGTGTGAGAGAGCCCAGCTTTACATATTTTAGCGAAGAATATAAACTGCATGGCTCGAATACTAATGGTACACCACAAACGACGCTGGAATCTCAATGAGAGAGCTCTTGATCTCGCAACAAGCAAAACTTTCCGAAATCTCCGATTCGAGTAAATTGGCGATCCCTCTCTCGCTCCACGTGCGCGGTAATAAAAGTTGCGCGATGCTCGAATGCTTAATCGCACGGGACGTTGCGTCGCGTCAGGGAAACTCCGAGGTGCTTTCCTCGAGGCTCGACGCAGGTTAAACCGGGCGTAATTCCGCCCTGAACCCTGAAATCCCTTTCCGTGAAAATGGAGATCGCCCTGTCGTTGGCCCTGCTGGATGTATCACGGGGGATATGCGCGGTCTCGGCTGAACACCTTCGAAACTTCGATCTTCGACCATTCGCACGTCCCGGATTATCCTGAACGTGATTGAAAGCGTCACGGTCCACGAATAAGAAAATAAATCAACACGAATGAACGGATAATGCCACGTCGACGATATGTTATCAAAAGTTCTATTATATTCTATTATTCTATTATTCTACCGTTGCTTGTCTACCGTTACTAATCCGAAACTGAATGAGTTTTAATCCAAACTCAATAACTATATCAATTTAACAGTAACTTATAATTGCAACAACATAAATGTAACGCGTATTATATACGTAACAGTTAGGTATATTGTTGAATGTGAAGTAAAATATAATATTGATGTTGGTGTTTATTGAAAACTGATTAAAACAATTGAATAAGGAGACAATTTGAATAAAATTGTGTAAGATGAGAACGAAATTTTGCTTTTGTTTCCCATTCTCGCGCGAGCACTTTCCGATGCGATCTGGTCTTGTCGAAGTAACAACTGCAATCAATGCAATGGCCAATGGCGCAAAATAAAAATAGAAACAAAAGTTAACGTTAACGTTAAGGCTCGCGCGATGCAAATAAAAAAGTTAATGTTGGTTAATGTTCCTTCAAACTGTCCTCAAAGTTTCATAGAGAGTTTGGAACATTAGTGTCTCGCGGCATTTCCCTATCTAAGAGACGTGCAAACGTGCTCGAACCGAAGGTTCAAAGACCCGTCAACCAGAAAACGCCTTCGAGAACCGTTCGACCAAGAATGTCGCTCGGTCAAGCACGTGCGGCGGAGTTAAAAAATCATGTGGACAAGGGCACCGGGAGAAAGGGTAAAAGTTGGTCAAAAATTATCTATGCAAGTGGACTTCGACAGGCTCTCTCTTCTTTCAGGCAAGCCGATCGTAATTACCTCCAGCTCTTTCAACTTAATTTGCCTCTCGAGGTCATATTTATCGCCCTCGAGTAAGGATAGTCTGTTCCAATATGCCGAACAGATCGTCTGCAGCTCGGCTAAAAGAACAAAAAGTTATTGGAAAAAAAAAGGGCAAAATGGAATCCGCTGAATGTGTTTTGTCATCCTTGCCGTCGGCTGTCTTAAAAATTCGTTATCACATTATAATCGTTTAGCTTCAAAAATAAAAAAAAATGCAGGAATTAAAATAACAACTACGGCACTACGTAAAGATGTAAAATTGTAACGGCTGTTTCCAATTCATTGATATCGGATAGGATAAGAATGATAACAACTTTTTTAATTCGATTTGTCATCATTTTTAACATATCAATATATATGTTAAAAATAAATTGTTCCGTTGTTTTTATTTATTTATTTATTTTTTTAACTATGATGTTTAAAAATGTGATGAAAAATAATGCATGTGACGACCTGCGGTTTTCTGTGATGATTTATATTATTACTACTAAGAGGATTATTTGTGAGGGAATGTAATTATCACGGGGAGAATAGAAAAGAAATGAGTCTTTCGCGTTGGAAGCGAGAAGCACGAAGCTGACAATTGCGTGATCGTTAACCTATCACGGAATGCAAGTGGGAGATGAGAGAAATTCGACGAAAGGAAATGAGCGGGGTGAAAAATACAGGAACTGTGGTGAGGGTGCGGAGTCTAGTAGTGCGGACTCGCAAGTATAAAGTGAAGAAAGTTCTTTCTAGTGGAGAGTTTCTACTCATTGCGAGAAATCAACGTTACTGAGACAGATCTACGTTGAGCGATTCTACGAGTCGCGAGGGATGCTACGTTAGGAGCTGCTGCTAAGAAAATACTCAGCCTCGATGTCTACGCCTAATATTATTACGAACAGCTTATGAGTATGCAAATCGGAACAGTCGCTAGAAATAGTGAGATGTGCTTCGCGCGTGAAAAAAAAAAAGTAAGAAGAAAAAAGATGACTAGAGGATAAAGAGTATTGGCGTTAATCGCAGCTCATCTTGTGTTTGCAAAAAAAATCTTTTTTTCGACCTCCAAATCCTTCCTGGCGACTTCGTACTCAAGGTCGTACTTCTCCCCCTCGAGAACGTTGATCCTCTTATGATACTGGGTCAGAATGGACTTCACACTAGCTGTTAAAATTCAAGTCACTCCTTGAAAAAATGCTCGCGACTTAACCGTTTACGTCGTAGATATCGATGTAAATATCGCTACTTACATTCAGAAACATAGTAGTAGCAACTATATAGATGATAATTATACAAGTAGTTTTATATTTAGAATTAAGGTACAGTTGTAATAATTAGGAAATAATTTATTCAACACTGCGCACATTAATTCTATATATAAAATTTGGATAAATATTTAAAACAGGGGAAGCAGAATGAGCGACAGCTAAAACCTGTTGGTTAAGGTTGAAGGTTACTAAGGATCATGACCTTGGCAACATATGTCAAGGTCAAGGTCATTAGAGTTGCTCCCCTGTTCGAAATATTTATCAAAATTTGTACAGTTTTCACCTATTGCTACTGTCATGTTTTTTCTTTGAATACTCTCTAAGTAACGGATATATCGTTGCAACGGATGTATTGTAATTTTTTGCAAATTGTAAAAAAAAAATATAGCGATAACATATTAACAATTAAACATATAGATAGCAACTGTACTTTATATTGTGTAGAATTTATGTATTAATAATAGCAATAATTAAAAAATAGTTTATTCAATTAGAGATACATTAATTCTACCTATACCTTGTATAATTACCTATACCTATACAGTTGCCACATCTGTCTTTTTCTCTGAGTGTACTGGAACGGGTACATGTCGTAACTGATGTATTGCATGTAACTTTTCGCGAATAATATATACGGAGTCCATTTCGTGTGTATGACTTGAACGAACGGCAGAGGGTGGAAAGCGTGAGTTTGAGGGAGGGAGTGAGACCGATAGTGTGAAAGCTAAATCGAAATGTTATAAACTGTCGCTGTTTCGCAATGGTGTGAAGACTGTCTCAAGTTTCCAGCGAACGAAAGCGAGCTCTTAAACCGTCTTCCAAGGACGATTTTCGAGTATAGACATCACTATGAAATTTGAAACAATCTTGTCGTTTAGGACCTAGGATGATACAGATGCACATAGATATTCGCGCATAGATCGAAAATAACGGCAAGAGAGGAAACGGTGAATATACAATACTTCGCAAAATGAGAAAAGCATCAGAGTTTCTCGTAAATAATTACAATCATTAGAAAGTATTATGGTGCGTGTTGTATGAAGCAGTGTACAATAATGTATTATATTCGGATATACCTAATATACCCAATATGTTCGAAAATCGATGTTATTCTGTTATTCTGACTTTTCGTGTTTTGCGAAAATAAAGTAAGTAGTGACAAGCCGTATTAATACAATAATCAAGATGCGAATAATCCATAGTGTTCTTAAATTGCCATTAAATTTGCCAAAGATTCAAGAACAAAGGATTGAACGGAGAGAGCAGAGAGAGAGAGAGACAGAAGACAGTATGAGAAATCGCGCGCACATTAATGCGAAGAAAAACAGATGCTGACAGAATCAAAAGAAATCGACGACAATTTTGTGTTACGTAGAGATAGAACAAAAAGAAAAGAAAAGTGTGAATGGAAAAACGGTGCGACGAAAGAATGCGAAGCTCGTGTCTCTTGCCCGGTTACAGAATGGAAGCTACGACGAAAGATTCAAGTTTCAGTAAAGAGCAGTTAATCATTCACGGAGTTGCTCGATAACGATTATTCATTGGTTGATGAAAGTAGCCACGATACATAAGCCGAAGTTGCAAATTCCTTTAAAATGAATTTAAAATGAAAGCTTTTAATTACGATATTTTGTAATAATTATAAGAAATAACAGTTATAAAAAATAATTATAACAATACAATTGTATAGAGCCAAAGGTATTAGGCATCTATGTCTTTTCATTTATCTGAAATTCTATATTGTTTCCTATTAGTTATCAGCATTATAAAGGATCTCGAAATAAAGAATAATTTTCACAGCAAATGCTCTGAATCAATTTTTAAACTAAAATGTGTTAAATAATAATTAATACTTGATACTTTTGGCCGAGACTGTAGCAAAGAGATACATATTTTATTATTTCTTTTTTAAAAGTTTTGGAATTGCTCCATTTTTTCTTTTTAGGAATCTATAAAAAATTGCTCTACTTTTTTATTATTTAGGTGCTATTTTCATCGAGTGTGCGCTATTGGTGACGGCTAAATTCGTAGACATGTTATTATAAAATTGTGCAATCTAGCAATCTCGTGGCGATGGTCTCTTTGCCAAAACTCTAATTACATTTTGTCGTCGCTTTACGTAAATGTGCAACCGGGCGGAGATCAGTGCGTTACACAAGTGCAACAACATTGAACATCGTTATTATTACTGTATCGTGAGTGCCGCGTTATCATACTGCACGTCGCGTAAACGTTCTCGCAATTGTTGCTCTCTCGAAAGTACCTCAAAGTCCTTCTTCTTAACAACATATTCGATGTCAAATTTTTTATCCTCCAATGCCGAGATCCTATTGTGGTACTCGCGCAGCACGCGCTTTACGGTCTCTGTGTAGTTTATCAGAAACAAAATAATGTAAAACAAAATAAAGACGCGCATGAAAAACGTCGCAATTCGCGTATATTGTCTGAAACGTGTCTCAAATTATTGTACTTTCTCATGTACACTTTTTTTCTATTGGGATCGGAAAAATTATTTCAGGGTAGAAAGAATTCTCAGTAATGTGATAATTAAATCTTGAAAATCGTACACCAATTATTATACTTTCACCCGCATGTTCTGCACTTTCGAAAAAAAATTTACTAACGAATTGTAAAAAAAGATTAATAAAGCATGACGGGAAATGGAGCAACATAAAATTTCGACCTTTGAAATTAAAAATTAACACTTTGTATCATTATTGTGACTTGATCAAAATTTTCATATTTTTTTATATAAGTGCAATTGTGCCAAAATATAAAAACTGTTGCACAAAACTATTGCATAAAAACTATTGATCGTATCTAAGAAATAAAAACGTTTTCTCTTAAAAATCAAATTCTTCAAAATTGTTTCTGTAATTCACGCAACTCGACATTGTATTAACATTTCAAACTCATCGTTTCTGTGCAATAATTCTTGCTGCTAATGATTAAAAGTAGAGATAAATCCAAGAGGTAAATTTATAGTTTTATTCAGGACAACGCGAACTTTGTCCGAATGTAAAAAATATCTCTGCTAAATATAAATGTATTATAAATGTAGCATTGCGCAGGATTGCGTAACGAAGCAAAGTACCTTCGTTGGCTTCGTCGACGATCTTCGGCTTTCCGCAGCGTTCCTCGATTATGCGCCTCCTTTCGGCCGCTTTTCTTTCCTGTTCCTTCTTTAATTCCTCGGCGGCTTTCTTACGCAACAGCAACTGTAAATATATGAAAAATTCGTGAGGTTCGACTCAATAGAAAGAAAAAATATTTCATAAGTAGACGAGAGAGAAGTTTTCTCCAGGAAAATGTACTCTGAAATATTTACAGGATCCACGAATTGATTTCTAACTGCGTGAAATTGATATAATTTAAATGGAAATTAAATTTGTATATTCAATAGTATATATAGTATATACTAGACTATTTAAACGGTATGAACAATTTAAACCATATGGAATGAAATGGATTATTGTTATGTTTATTTAATGAATATATTTTTTACATATATATATATATATAAAATTGCCCATTATATACGTTTACATTATCAATTAATTATATATTAAAATGGTTATTAAAACAAATAGACTTAAATGCAACAATATTAATTAATCTTTGTGTCTATATAAATATGTACCGTACAATAACAGAAAGGTGAAACGGAAGTAAATTCATACGCGCTAAGCTCACAATGCTCGAGAGAAACATTACCATTCGTGGTTTACTCACGAAATAATTTAAGCTCGCGACTAACGCCTTTCTCTCTTTCGGTCAACGACGAGATAACGTCGTGTCGGTTGGTATTCGACGGGGTAGCAAATATTGACGCAGCGAAAGGAAGGAAGGAAGGAAGGAAGGAATTAAGGAAGGTGGATTTACGAGAAAATAACATGCCGGCGCGGCGCGGGAGCAGCAAACGCAAAAAGATTCTCCAAGAGGTAATCTACATACACACGCGGAAACTTTACGTACTGCGACTGCAAATGTTCGCGACGGTGCATGAAGAGAAACCGGAGGAGAGATACATGGATGTTCTGTAGAATGTTGCACGACGATGGATACAGAATGGCGAACGTAAGGCGGGACCATAAAGTAAAGGTAAAAAGGCGAGATAAAACTTGAAAAGTTTCGGACGCTTCGCCGCGCGCTGCTGGAAAACAGAACATTGAAATACAAAGTGGTGGAAGCGGGGAGAATAAGAGAAAGTAATAGAAAAATGGATGTGGCCGTTACGAGAAATATTTCGCGAGAAAATCGGCGCACAAAGGGTGGAGAAGATGATTACCGCGATATTGTTCAGCGGCTCGAACAACGCAAGAAGAGATTATAGCGTGCGATGAGACAATCAAGTTAAATCGGGAACGAGATCAACTTATAATTAGTTGTCGATAATAAACATTCGAGAGAGAGAGAGAGAGAGAGAGAGAGAGAAATGACGAAAGATTCGCGGTCGGACTTACCGCGATCGAGTTTTTAAAGAGGATATCCCCACGACTTGAGAACACACTTGGTCGTGAGAAATTCAAAAGGGAAGAAACAAAAAAACGAACTTACCCTAAGCTTCTTCTTCCTGTCGGGGGTCATAAAACCCTTCTTCGCCTTCTTGGCTTTGGAAGCCTCTTCGAGACGGGCGCGGACCTCCGCCCTTTTCCTCTCGGTCTCCGCCTGTTTCCTCTTCTTTTCCTGCATTTTTCGTGCGAAACTCCCTTAAAACATCTCATCTGAGAAAGCCCCGAAGCGTCTCATGGAACGCGAATTCGGAAAGTATTGCACAATACGAACTCTAACATTTTTCGCACCCCCATCCCTCTGTCTAAACTTTCACGAGTCGCAAATGGAAGAGCAAGTGCAGTTACAAAGTAATTAATTTATAATAATTACTACAATACAAATTTTCTGAAATAAGTATATTAGAAAATTATAAATAATATAATATATTTTAAAATAATATTAGTTTTTAATCTAATATATTTTAAAAATATACATATTAGAAGAAAAATAAATACTTTTCTAAACACTAGAACTCTGCCATTATCACATCTAGCGCTATCTCTTAATTATCTCATTCTCTCTACTTTTTAGAATATTAAACTTTTTGTTGTATAAAATAAAAACATAAACAAGAAGTTTTTTTCTGTATATTACATATATTCCGAATGTACTTTAAGGAACGCCATCGTTTCTGATTATTTTCACAAAAATAATATAGCTAATTTGAAATATTTGCAAAGGATTTTATTTCGTAATAAAACGAGCGCAAGCCCTGTTCCCGATGAAAGGATTTCTTTCATCCGCTTGGTAAGTGGCCGTCCTTTAAGAGGCGACTCTACGTTTCATAGCTAGTTTCTTCTCTTACGTACATCCTCGATGCGCTTTCTCTGCAAAAAAAAGAGAAAGAAAAAACATTTCTCGTTAGTATATTCTCTGTGTCATGGGTCACACGTACGGCGATATCTAAAACACTTTTTGCAGAGCGCGATCCTTTCGACTGTGAAAAAGGATATTTCTCAACGAGATATTGAAAGAGCGACAGAGTACGAGAGAGTTAGAGAGGAAGAAAAGATTACGCGTTCAGTGTTCCAGATTTCGCCATCAAGGAATACCTTACAAAGCATTAGCGTAGCGACCGTGTTTTCGCGTGTTTCATGGCGATGCAGAGCTAATGGAGTCTGTCTTAAGTGATATAACTTTGTCGCTGTTAAGCGCTACAACAGCGAGCATCTTGTAATATCGTTTTGCGCAAATTGCCGCGTTTTCGCTTATGACATTACGCGCGGCACTTTCGGCCGACCATTAGCTTTGCCTTCTACAAACTGTGCAGATCTTACCAACCGGTGCGATATGTGTATCAAGTATAAATCGTACAAGAAAAGAATAATATATTTTGCTGAAGTCGCTCTGGTTTGAAAATAGCTTTTGATCATTAAAATAATTATGTACCTAAGACGCTCAAAGATTATTCGAATATTATTATATCGAAACTTTTTGCAATATTATACTTAACTCAGTTATCTGGAATAATTTTACGTTTCAAGAAAAATGTGAATTGTTATAAAATATTGTTTTGTATGGGTATTGTTTAACATATCTTTGTTCTCATTTTTTGCTTACAACTCTTTGTCTTTCTCTTTTAATAACTATTCTTTATGAACTTTTAAATATGCAATTCTATCGAAAATCTGCAATACAAAAGCGTTATATATTAATTACAATTTTTATTTTTCAGAAATAATATCATAATAATAAGCTATTTAAGATGCTTATTCTGAAAATTATAAATTAAATCTATATCCATAATGTTTTTAATAATTAATATAACCTAATTAAATGGGATAACACAATTAATAATATACAGTATGTTGTTAATAATAATAATTTTAATGGGGAAGTTTCTGTATTCCAAGTGAACGTTTACGTAAAAAAAACTTGACTACTTGCGAGTCTACATAATTATTTTAATAGCTTAACAAAATTGTTTTCAGATTTATATCCAGCTAAATTTTTTAATTCTTCAGCAAAACGTTCTTTCCGTGTAGTTGCATATAGCACAGAAGCGATAACATGCAAATTTTCCTAACACGACTGTACATCTCGAATAGACGTTAATAATACAGTGACATGTCGTACACTTAAAAAACTTTCTTGACAGTTCGTTACAAATGCTATTAATATTTGATGATTACATATTTGTGAAACGCGATTAAAAATACAATAATTTTTCTTTTCTTTCTTTATGCACTTTTATTAAGCTTTCTTCAATATAAAATGTTGATTTAAATTTTATATATATACGGTGCGTGGTGCGCACAAACCCCATGGTGATATTAGATGTATTACACACTTATACATTTACAATGGAAAAAAAAGGAAGCATTAGAGAAACATATAGCGCTATAAAGAAGAGCCTGAAGAGAACAATCACTCCACATGCGATTTATACACATCGATATCTACTTTACCCCAGATTTGTTTGATCGTTTTATGTTTGTTTGTGTGGTGCGCGTTCTCGAAAGTTTTATGTTTTACTTTTACTATATAACAACTCCCCGAATTAATTTCGATTGGAGAAAAAAACCAAAACACTGTTTACGTGAAAAAGCTGTTGTGAGTTTGCTCACAATGGCACAGTAAATAACAAGCATCATTTAATGCACAGTTTTAATTATTTACTTTGATAAATAATAAATATGTAAGTGATTTGATAAATATGATATTAGCTCAATAATTTTAATTTTTTTGCCCTAAAAATCAAAATGGTATATATTAAGGTTATTGATTCGTCCGCAACCAATTTGGCTGTTCTTGAAATATGTTGTTAAATACAAAAATATAAAAGACACGTTTTTTTATATCAGCCCAATTTTAAAGGATGAAACAATCCTTACATTAATTTTATAAATAAAATTTATTTATTTTGTGTATCATTTATATGTTAAATGAATTGTCTATAGTTGCCACCACTTTTCCTCTGAATGTAAGTTTCAAAAATATTACGAAATGGTAAGATATTTCAAATCTTTATTAATTTAAATCTTTAATAGATTTTCTATAAAAGCTCTGAATTGGGAATTGTTAAGAACTTGTTACATCCTGTACATCGTTAAACAACGATGAAACTGAAATAATTTTAACTGTACACTTCATGTATAGATAGTATTTATATAATGCAAGCTTCGTAATTATCAATATAAAGTTTGTGTAAGAAAGACGTTTTCGACTTGGTAAGTTATCGCTTGTGACTCTGAATAAATGAACCATCTGCAAAACTGTGTCCATATAACGGTTTTAATCAGTAAATGGAAATTCTACCGATCTTCGATAAACGTTGTTATTCATCAAATGCACAGAATTTTTCTTCTTCGATATGGACTGACAAATATCAAATATTTTCTCGTTTCGAAGACAAAATTTCGTCTTCTTCGTGCCATCGTGAGCAAAAGGAGTGAAAATGTGACAAACGGATAAATCCGACAAATGGATTTTAAAAGTATATAAGAAAGGAGAGAAACGATAAATCGATTTTGAAAGGGTACAAGGTCATAAAAGTACAAGATAAAATATAAATTATTAGAATACACGGAGGTCAATGAATCAAGATCACAGATCTTGGACTTGAATCTGCAATTGAAAATCTGGGAAGACTTGTTCCCAGATGTAAGGATAACGCGAGTGAGAAATAGCTTGCTCGAATAGCAGGAAAGAAGAGATATAAAGTAAGACGAAGAGATTCGGAGCATAGTCCAGATTCGCGTTAAATAATGCCGAAATAAGGACGAGAGTGTAGCGATAAATCAGACAAAAAATCGGGCCATAGAGCATATAACCGTGTCCGGGAGACAACGGACATGTCGGTCGTAATACGGCTAGTCCCACTTCTCGTTTCCTACAGAGCGGAAATTTTACGGTGAAATTTGCGGAATATATGTTCCCTACTCTGCGCTGGTCCAAAAACCTTCATTAACTTTTACATTTGCGGTTCGCGCCGCGCAAATTGGCTTCATTATACGAAAGAAAACCACTATCCCAGCGCACAAACGAAGAATTGTCGTCCGCGAGGTGGACATTACGTAGGAATGATGTCACAATCATCAAGGTAAAGAGCGTGGGGAACGAATTGCTTATTTATAAGAATGCAGAGATGAAAGTCACGAAACTGGTGGAAAATTTCTGTTCAAGAATCTTCTGAGGACTCTTCTTTCGAGATAGAAAAATCAAATATTAAGAATGAAAAGAATATCAAACTACAAACAAATAAAAAATGTAAGTACGACGGGGGGGATGAAACGGCCGAGGAATATTGGGAGATCGTAGAAAGTTTCTTGCGAAGGGAAAAAGAAGAGCGAAAAATATAATCGCGACGAGAAGCGAGCTTCTATGATCGCCTCGTCATTTTACATAGCATATATATAAATCTTTTTCAGGGTGCACAAACTATACATGGCTCATCCTTGACCACCATTTATATCCTCTACTAAAAGCTGCTTCAAAATTCAAAAACTGTAGGGGAAAAAAATGAGGTTCGGTCTGTTCGAAGTCCTCGGAACTTTACACATAAAAGCTTGATATAATAGAAGTATAATATATTGAAGGAAAATGATTTATTCATAGAAATGTGTATTTGAACTTTTCATTCTTTTAGAATAAAAGAGTATGTATCCTTTTCATTATGTAAAATATGCATACAAAATTGACTTTATTATCTAGAAATAATGAAATTATAAAATTAAATATAAATATAAATTAATTTCCAGGTCATTGAGTAACAAGTAGAAAAAATGTATGAGGTTTTTCTAGATGACATATAAGGCAAAAATCAAGAAGAACAAATTCAAGTAGATGTTTCGTTTTTTAATAAGAAATATTTCAATGTATATTTAAATGCGCAGAGACTTTTACATTTAAACATTCAGAATTACAATATCAAAATTAATAAAATTTTGATGCTTTAATTTTTAATCATAAGTGTTTAAATATTCCCATACTTAGAACACTTTTTACGTAAATATTTGAACATTTATATTAAAAAACTAAATCTTAATATCGTGATTTTGTTTTATCACTCAATTTTTTTTCTATCTGTTACCAAACATCCTATAAATATATTAAATTATATAAATTAATTTTAAATTTAATTTGTGCTCAACGATAATAATTTCTAAAATATAACGTGCTTTATTAAAATTTTTTTCATCAGGTACTGAAATTAGAGTCCATCAAATACACTTTCTAACAAGGTAAATCGAAAGATTCGCGATTGAAACATTTAGTAGAACCATTGTTCTATTTTTATTGACAAGGTCTATACTATTTTCGCTAAAACTACAGTTTATACTAGCGGTCTCTCACAGAATCATAGAAAGCACAAACAATGCATACCTTTCGACAGTAATGCTAATTTTACTGCACGAGTCCAACACGTAGGATGTGCGTGATTTTAGTGTTTCCGTTATCCAATGTGAAAATCAGCAATGGCGAAGATCCATCGAAGGTACAATATGAAAAAAAGAAAGTAATGTTAAGAGATATTCGCGATATTAGCGATTTTACGAAATTGCCATGGTCTTTCCTCGATCGTTATTCTTTTAATAAGGATATAAAAAAATGTGAAGCTACAAAAAGGCTCCAGATCCGAATACACACCTAACCTCATCGTCCGCCATGGTGGTGTCTTGGTGTTGCGCGCGTCTACCTAAAAAATAATATAAAATGATACAAATATTAGTGTTATATATGTACAGTAGCTGAAAACCTTGGTACACCGGCATACTATTAATAGTCGCTAATAATTTATTTTAACCAGAGGGGAGGGATCTAACTTCCTTCTCCTTAAATAATAACTTAAGCAGAATATAAAGTAATTATAATACCAAAATAGTAAAAACAAACAGTTCCAATATGATTATATTATTATAACCAATACAAATAAATTTTTTTATTTTGACGATATTTTGATGTCATAATAACATTAAAATGACGTCAAAATGATTTTATTATATTATCAATATTAAAAGTCACTTTCTCAATTGCAATTTCTTGGCGTCGCTTGGAACTTGATCGAACAATATTTTGTGAAGCATTTGCGTATGCATACGTTCAACGATCTTCAAACGCTTCGGCGCTTTTCCGCGATGCGAATAGTAAAACGGTCGCGCAAATAGTGCGAACGAAAATAAGGTCTGTTTTCTATAACTGAACTAGTATACATTTTTGGAACTCAAAGTGAAATAAGCATATGTTTAATATTTCGTCAAAAGCAAGAAAGTTTTGGTGTACTCTAATGCAAGAACAAAAAACAGATTTCAACGGAATGGCGCCAACGGTAAGTGATGGTAAATGAAAGCTCAGAGCATTCAGCGTCCGTCAGCGCATTCGGTGCATGACGGAAATATTAGATAACCAGAGAAAAATTTGATCGTTAACGCATCTCTGTGACAAGCATGATCGATTTGTCCGCCCCGTATCGATAAATCATGCGGTTCACGTATGTGTAGATTTCGCGCCGCGGAACGAAAAGACGAGCTCAAGCTATCTTTCTCATCTCTCTCGCGCGCGACGACGGTATAGAATATCCGGCGCGCAAAAATAGACACCGACCGTCCCCACTTTCTGCGACGTGCCGTCGTCAGGAACGCCGGGTAACGTCGACGATCCAAATTTGGATGCAACGACCACGGTAGATATCCCATCGTCGGCGGCTTCAACTGGACTCGATGTCGAAACAGCGAGGCGAGCAGATAAACAAAGTCATGAACATCTCTCTATGAGAGAAAGAGAAAGAGAAAAATAGAGAAATAGATAGTGCGTTTATTATTGCTCTAAGCCCTCTAAGAACAAATGTAAAGTTACAAAAATGAGCTAAAAATAGCAGAATACGTAAATTATAACGGTAAAAATGAAAAAAATAAAAGCAATATGTAATTAAAATAAAGAGAGAAGCGATTTGCAAAATAAAGATATCGGAAAAACAAAAAGAACATTAATAAAATAAAAGAAAATAAACATAGAGGGAGCCGACGAATATGCACGTCAGCACGTCGGGCTATTTGCGTATGAAATTTCATTCGAAAGAGCTCTAACTGCGTAGAGGGAAAATATCGCACATATATCGGCGAGACATGCCGATTCCTTTGATTAGCCAAGATCTTGCGTCGCGGGATCGTATCGATGCACGATGCGAAGTATCGACACGCCAGAGAACATTCTGCCGCGAGGCAAGGCAGGATCCAACGAAGTTTCAAAATAGATAACTTATATAGGTAAACTTCTGTGCGCGCATTCGAAATTGTGCAATTCGGTTAGAGAGAGATAACAATTGCGCACTTAGCGGAGCTCGCTACGACGCGCTCGTTGTCGCAGCTCCAAAACATTCAAGAAGATGGATTGTACCTTGTCTACAGCGACACTCCGCATTCCGAAAATACTTAGGAACGTCACGGCTGTACAAGCGAAACGTGACGCAATGTTGCAACGAACACTTGGCAACGGCGAAACAAAATGTCATTAGCAACTTGCAGAATAATGTATCATTTTTTTGTGAATATTTTTGTTATTTCATTTTTTTTCCTGCTTTTTTTTTGTGTGTGCGTTGCGTAAGTTATTAAGAAAGTACTTAACCAAAATACTTTCGACACATAACGTCAAAATGGTTTCAAAACGATTATTAAAAGTTCATTTTTTAATCAATCACTATTCATTTTAACGTTAAAAATGACACCGTTTAAATATATATCATTTTAGCTAAAATTAATTATAGTCAAATAATAAGAAATAATAAGAAACGTTCATTAAAAATTACAAGATAATTTCAAACTAATTTCACAGAAATAAGTTTTTTAAATATCTCTCGCAAATGTTATAATGCTTATATAATGTTTTCATATATATTTTATCTTTACGCAGTAAACGTTCCACAAGTAACATAAAATTCCAACGAGTGTTATATAATCAGAATATAATTTTGTTGCATTACATCATAGATGACGTTAGCATACGAATATGTCCATGCGAAAATATTGTAGGGATATTGAAATTTTATGAAAATCATAGAATAATCAAGTTCTTTTCTTGATCCATTAATTGTTCGTACTTGCTACAGCGCCTTCTTTTACGAACGATCACCTTTGCTAAGTATAGATTTTCTCGCGCTCGAACCATTCCGAGACACGTACCATCTCCGATATCAAAGAGGCAAGCATCGTAAAAATAGACTCACTAAATCTCATTAAATTATATGATACGTTAAGTAAAAAGGGCAAAATCCATTCAGAAGAAAATACAAAATACATAGCATTACTATTCAGGAGAAGTTATATTCTACTTTATTGAATCTCTTTCTCTCGTTAAGTTAGAAGATAACGCAAATATTGTTTTTATTTTGAAGAACTGTAAATTTTGATCATAAAAAATTGATCGTAAAATAATACTCAAGATCATGATAATCATCTTTTGACGGAATTAAAAATTCTACGATTTCTCTCGATTAAAATTAAAATGTGAAAGAAAAAAGATCGATAGACGTTTTCTTTACGTTGGCGAATTATAAGTCTTAGGAAAATTGATCACAAAATAACGATTACAATAATAATCTAATACTATCCACATTCTGATGGAACTAAAAATTTTACGATTTTTTTCTTATTAAAATTAAAATGAGAGGAAGAAAATTAAAAAAAGATTACACGCGTATTTTGCCAAAGTATCCTGAATAATCAATGGCTGAGTTGGGCCTATAAACGGAATAATTTTTCGTCTATCACTTTCAACTCCGCGTCACTTTCAAAACGAGCGATTGCTCGCCGATCAATCACTATCTTGGGAGGTCTTGAACGAATTAATCGTCACAACTTGGAAAAGTATCTTTCATACAGCCACTCGTTTCACTGACACTCGAACGCGGTAACTTCCCAACGATTATCCTCGAACATCGAAATTTTAAGAACAACTCATTCCTGGAAGAAGAAATTGAGTTTCCCAATTTTTTTTCTCCTATCCAAAGATTCTCCAGACTTCCTCTTGAAGAACAGAGACGGTCGATGCCTTTCAAGACATTCTTGCGCTGTGACAATGGCAAGAACAATCAGGAGGATTACAGGAAGTAGGCTTACCTTGTGGAGAAAACTTGCTGGCTGCGACTGGCCAACCGGACCTTAGGCAGCTGACTGTACCATCGTGGATATTTAGTCGACTTTGTGAACCTCCAACATAGGCCGTTCACGTGGTACAAGCACGACCAATGACGATACGCCATTGGTCGTAAACATTTTTAGGCGAGAGCTCTGCTCGCTCTGCTTGCTGCCAAAAATAATCAGAAACTGAAAACGGAGCCGAGCTCGTTTGGTCGCTAAGCCGTTCGTTTGCCGCATCGCCTTCTGATTTCGTTCACCTTATTATCGCGGTTGTTATGAGGCAAGAATGGAGCGGTCTTGAATTCGGTTTCCCTTAAACGCTACTAATTAAAATATGGTTATCAAAACGATATGACTTACTAACGTTAATAGAATTTCTAATTAAAGGAACAGTATTTAGTAAATATATTCTAAATGTATTTATCTAAAAAATGATTTAAATAATTGATTTTAATAAATCCTGCCTTTTTAATTTTTAAATTGAGCTTTTTAGTTATTAGTTGATCTAAATTTCTTTCTATATTCTTTCCAAAAATGTTTCCAATAGCAGAACAAATAACAATAATGTTAAAATATATCATACTTTGTAAAAAAAAGTGACTTTTAATAATTACTTTGTAGCCATTTCGACGCCATTTTGATGTTTATTATGACTTACTATTTGATGTTCTACTTAGGTATCCGAGCAATTAATGTGAGATATTATGACATAAAAAAATGACGTCAAAATGGCTACAAAATAATGACTAAAATTACTTTAGTTATTTACGATTCATTTCATCATCATTTTGAAGTTATTATGAGTGTTATTCCGTTTTAAGAGATACAATTTCCAGAAGAAATCATGAATTTCATTCATTCGTGCTAATACAGGATAAACTATTATAATAGATATTTTTACAGTTATAAATATTCGTAAAATATAAGTTTATTTTTTATTTAATATTTTTATTTTTTATTGCTTAGCATTTCACAATAGATTTAGTTTGAACAAAAAAAAATGTGTTATTTTTGGAGATAAGTCGAATTCATGTTGTGCAGCCAGATGCAACAAAAAATGAGAAGTTTCTGTCTCAAATCTTGTAAAAATTATTAATGTCTCGTCCGCGCAGCTCGGTGAGAAAAAAACTGAGATATTATCGGCACTTTCTAAATTTCTCGTACCAGCAGCTGCTGGCACTAAACGCGGTAACGATGACGGAAATGTCGACGCGTCCCAACGTAATACAATCATATCGACGTAATGTCACCAATGAATTTCAATGAAACTCTTGGCTCGAAAGTAGAAGTTCCACGTGCTATGAAGGACTTGTTAAACATTCTTTATCTGTAAAAACTGTCAAATATCTTCTACAGTGTTAACTGTGTAAAATTTTAGTATTAACAATGATTCACATTTGTAAATATTATTATAGTATGATTCATTTTAATGTTTTATCGATATATAATATAATAATTTTATTGATATACAATCTCATATATACAAGGATTATAATATTGCATTACGTAGAAACTGTATTATCTTGCAGTTTATATTACAATTATATACGTATTGTATTATATCATATTATACGCGATGCATAATTATCAATATTATTAAAACTATACACATTTAAATAAATAAGGAAAACATTATACATTTAAAAATTATACATTTAAATAAATAATTTTCACAAAAAATTATACATTTAAATAAACAAGAAAAACATTTACTATATAATTGTAAATATGTGTGCGTGCGCGCGTGCGTATGCACGCGCGAGTGTGAATATTATTTTATTATTTTATTATTAGATATTGTATTATTGTGAATATTTATTAAAAAATTAACCTTTTCATTCCCAAATTATTCAATAGCTACAACAAAATATTTATTTAACTTTTTGTATGTATTACGTGACAAATAAGCAATTTAAAAAATATTTTGATATTTTGAAGAACTTTTCAGAACTTTTTTAAGGACATTATTATTTAAAAAATTTTTATTATAACTATGTATTATATAATAAATTGCAATACATTGAAAATTGCATTGCAGTTATTATACATAGTAAAATTTTTTTAATTTTTCATCAGTAAATCCACTTGAAATATCACAAGAAAATTATATAATATTGCAAATTTATATTTTTAATTCTAAATTGCAAGAAGAATAAACAGAAATGATAATTATTTTATAGAAAATTTTCAAATGAAAGCAAAAGAATAAAGAAAAAATAAAATGGTCCTTTAAGTTTATTTTTTAATGGAAAAACTATATAAATTAGAAAAATTTTAATTTAAAAAAAAAGTAAAATGAATTACAACAATTATTTTATCTTAAAAGCAGAGAACGAAGAATCAAGTAGAACAAATCCGCCGAGTCAGCCGAGTGGCATACACCGATGTTACGTTGCACATTTAACACAGGTAACATATCTACGGTAAACTTCATTATCGATAACGTTTCTTCATTGTGAATATTGACATTTTACTATTCCTTATTGTAAAAATATCCTATTCGTATGCCTTTCACTCGTATGGCAATTCAATTGAATTTTGTAAAACCGAAGCTTTTTACTAAAGGAAAAAAATGCACAAGAAAGCGCGCGCGGACAAGTGGTACATATCGAGACTTGGTCGGACAGTTTAGTAGGTACGGATAATACAGGTCTCTGCGAAGTTGTAGCAGAATATATAAAGCTCGCGACGTAGATACTGCGTAGTCGAGAAGATGGCGAGAACTTACGAAGGAATTCGAAGTTCTTTCACTGCTACAAAATGCTCAATGATGCTCAATTCAATGCGTGTACATTGCAATTGCGACCATGTCACGGTGACGTCTGATGAAGATTACAATATTGTAGGTTTATCAATAAGCTCTTAGTATCGCTGTTATTGTCAACATTTTTTGCTAATTCAAATGAAGCAAGGGAAAATTAATTTTACGACGTATGCGTTAATTTTACAAAATGCCTCCCCTAATTACCAAGGTCGATGTTTCAGCAATTCCTTTGACAAGACGCTTCCAAAATAATATCCGACCAGAGATGTAAATGAATTTTTCGAGTCACCTCGCATCCAGTAATTTAACCTTATTAAAGTTTACATTGACCGTAATCTACTCGCTTAATATCAAGATCATAATAATTATACACTTGGCATTGTCCGTGCATTGCTTAATCAGGCCTACAATCACTTTCCTTGACGTTCACCTCTGATATTAGAACCTAAATCCTGTATAATGAAAATGTTCATGAGCAAAGAGGATGGACCTACGTATGTGGAAAGGGTGATGGAAAGAAAGAGAAGGGCATAAGCTGGAGAGTAGAAGACAGGTTCTCTTGATGCGTGTATCATCGGTGTCGTAACCTTTAACCTATTCCCTCTCAGAGGGAGTTACAGGTAGAGCTCCTGAAGGGGTGGAACGAGGTTGAATGTGGTGCGCTCGAACGGATCACAGGGTAAAAGGGGAACAAGGAGGGTTGAACCGGAGGTGATTGACCCAGCGTCCCTGTTGCCACGACGACGATCCTGTGACGTCACGGGACAAGCCGGGGTTTATGGGTGACCCACATTCCAAAAATAGCCGTCACCGACCTGCCCCTCCCGTCTCTCATCGGTCGTTCTCTACCATTACACAAACGTACACGCACGCACGCACACGCTTGTCGATGTGCCACCATTTCCTCGCATATCTCAGCATGATTCTCTCTTCTCTTCTTACGAAGTATTTTTCTCCTTCTTCTATAGTCGTTTCTTCTATAGTCGTTCTCGCGGTTGAAATGAGAGACTATATTGTCGCGCGTCAAATCATTCTTAAAGACAGACCGGACTCCATAAAGGGGTGGTGAAGAAATCGAGGTGCATGCATGCATTGTCATTCGAATATTCCTGTTATCGATTGACAAGTGATGAGAAATGTATGTATAAAGGTAATCGTGCTGTTGATCTCGCGATCCTGCAAACTATCACAAAGTACGAGCAAGATAACGTAGATTTATCAGAGTAGAAAAAATCGAAAGAGAATGCGAACAAAGTTTAATGCTTGCCTTGTGAATAAGATTACAATAATTTAAACTAACTTAACTTTATAAAAAAAAAAATCATCAAAATTGTCACAACTCAAAAAGGATGATTTTTTAAGGATGATTTTTTAAGGATTGTGAAAAGAAAACGATATTTGATCATGCTAAGAATATATTCTTTTGCCGATATTATTTAATTGATAATCAATAATTTTCTGTCAAGTTGACAAACAATTTTTTCTCTTTTTTGGGAAACTTAATTTTTTCTTAGTCACTTTTTAAATGATAAAAATGATATGTACGTGTAAATTTTTAAATATATGTTTCGTATATGTATATTTTATTTTTTGTAATGTTATTTGCACTATACGGCATATCTATATAAAATTATAGAATTGAATCCTATCAATTCTCATATAAATTATAAATTGTTTAATAAGACTTTACCTTTTATATATAAATTTTTTGACTTTCTTATATAATAGTCATATGATATTGTATTATACAAGTAAAATGTGATGTTTACTTTTTCTCTGCGAACACTATGGATATAAAGATCTATTTTTTAATAAAAATTACATATAAATAAATTGAAAGATTATAAAGTACATAAATGCAGAAGAATTAACGTTGATGTTTTGTTTTTCTTTTTACAAAGATCAAATCTCAATTAGATAGGCGATAAACGGACGAACATACGAGAACGTCCGACTTCGACAGTAGTAACTATTTTAATCCCGCTCCTTTTTTTCAATGAATCGGGCGACCGAACAAACGGGCAAGTATCCACGGGAAGTCGATGGGGTACTTCGACCCCACGACCTAGTTTGTGTCCCTGTGACGTCATACCGACGTCATTGCCCGGGGAAAAGTAGGTCGGGCAGACCCAGGCGGACCACCGGAAGAGAGGTCGGAAGGTTTATTGAGAAATTCCCTCGACTGATTTCTGTCCTATCGGGGACAAATTTTAAATCGTCAGGAAGAACTTTGCTTTTCTCATATATTGTATTCAACATTAATAACAGTCATGTGTCTGAAATATCTGTAGAATCGAAGCCACTTTCATCATCTTGTTTAGTGCTCTTCATAATTAAAGAAAGAGAAAAAGA